ATGAAAACACTTCAGCTTTCTGCAGCTTTTCCTCCTGACCTCCTCCCACACCTGTCCTGAATCTGTGCTCAGCTTAAAGTCCCCATGACATCAAAATGAAAGTTTTTTGGGTGTTAGTATCAATATGTTAGTCTCAAGGTTATCTATAAGGCAGTGTGCTCCAAAACAGTGACAAAATTCGCATTTAGAAGATATAAGCATTCAAAGCTTGCAGTTCGTCACTATCGCCAAAACGGCTTAGAGTAACGCTGCATGTTTCTAAGCATTTCAGGGGACCTTTAAAAGATGTCAGATATTGTCAGATTCGGACAAATTAAGCTGCTCTGGAAGGAATAAAACCACCTTTTTTGTATTAATTTGTTCTGATTATCATGGAACTATCAGCAAATCACCATCAGCACATCTCGGAGGTTTTTGGTTTAACTAGTCCTATTAGCTCAGCTGAAAGGGTTTAGGCTCCTCTCCTGGGTTCTTTCATACACTTCAGACCTACACTGAGCCACTATATTTGCGATTACAAAAGGGAAGCTCACTAACCTCACTGACATCTCGAGATGGATGGATGAGGATTTCTTCAAGATCAGCTTTGATCAGTAAGATCAATACCCTTAACTACAACAAAACTCTGCTCCTAATGTTTAACTGCATGTTGTATATGTAAACCAGTCAGCATTTACACAGATAATTCATCCAAAAATTTGTATTTACTCCCCCAAACCATTTCACATCCGTATGAAATGTACATACACTTAAAATCAATGGGGTCCAGTGTTGTTTTGAACCTCACTGACCTTTATAGACAAAAAAAAAACATATCTTAACCGTAAAAAGTAATTTTCCAATAATTTTGTTTTCCAGTACAAATACCTAAACATTCTTAAATCAAGATACATTTATTTGGGAAGCAAAATATTAAACTGTTTTTTGAAATATTAATCAAAATTAGGTGAGCTTAAGCATAAAACAAGAAAAAAATATCTACCAAAGGGAAAAAAAAAAAAAAAAAATTAAAAGGGAAAACAAATGTATTTTTCTTACCGAAATAGCAGTTTTTTTTCTCTTGTTTTATAAGCATAACTCACTTAATTCTGATAAATATTAAGGCTTATGTTATGTAATTTTACTTCTAAAGTAAATGTTTCTTGATATAAAACGTTTAAATATTTGTACTGGAAAATACGACCAAACGGAGGAAGACATTTTTAAAAATTTTTTTTTTTTACATTGATTCCTCTGTGTTTTGCAGAAAAAATGAAAATCACACAGGTTTGTACAGACATGAGGGTGAGTAAATTATGACAAAATGTTCATTTTTGAAATGCAAGAATTGATAAAAAAATGTAATTGATATGTGGCATCCAACCTTTCTCTCTCATCACATTCAATCAAGCACGCAAACTCAACAGCTGCACAGGAAACACCAACAGATTATTTGAGAATAATGTTCCTTTGGAATCAATGCAGACACTCAAGAACCATTAAAAGGACTAAATATCATTCAAAAAATCTTTTAAAATAAGAACCAGCTCTCACTACTAGCTCTGTGGTCAAAGATCAAACCGCTGTCACCTCCAGGTGCAAAAACACCCTGAATGATCCTAAATGATCAACTGACCTCCATTAACCCCTTGAAGTCTCTTCATGACCCTCGATATATTGAGAAACAGACCCTCTTATGTCTTCTGTCCTGGTTAAGCCTCTAGTTATATCACAACTAAACCACAAAGCTGCAGCCAGACGCACATCCACCCTCCAGAATCTCTTTGTTCTGGTCTCTAATTTGGCCTCCGGTGCCTGTAGAGATATCAGTCGAGTCGTTCCTGGCCTGCGGTGCGTTAAAAATCCTGATACGTACAGGCCAAGATCAAATATTACAGCCCTGCCCGGCTGTGCCGATCCAGTCTGTCTGGCTGTCTTATTTCATCTCTCTCACCCCACAGCTCAGATATCCTGATATCTATAAGTGCTGGCTTCTACACAGATTCATCAGTTTGCATGCTGGTCTATTATTGTGGTATAACTGGTTTTTGATTGACGCGTAAGTTTAGGATTGGTAAAATTTTTCATGCTTTTGAAAGATGTCTCTTCTGCTCACCAAGGCTGCATTTATTTAATTAAAAATACAGTAAAAATTGCTAAACTGTATTACAATTTAAAATAACTATTTTCTACGTGAAAATATGTTATAATTGATTGCTGTGATCAAAGCTGAGTTTTCAGCATCATTACTCCAGTCTTCAGTGTCACATGATCTTCAGAAATCCTTCTAATATGCTGATTTGCTGCTCAAGAAACATTTCTGATCATTATCAATGTTGAAAAGAGTTGTGCTGCTTCATATTTTTATGGAAACCATGATTTATTTGAAATGGAAATCTTTTGTAACATTATAAATGACTTTTGATCAATTTAATGCATGCAATGACCCATTTTATGCTGTAGGACGAAGGTCTTTATACATGAGAATAGACACAAAATGACATCTAAGAGTATGTTCTCAAATTTCCTTTGGATAAAGAATAAACAGCATTCTGAACGCAAAAGAGGAAAATAT